GTCAAAATTCTTTAAGAAATCAATACCGATTCTAGGTACGGCTACATCTGCGATAATGAGGTAGTGCGACCGAAATTCAAGGTTAATTTTCGCTTGCAATATGTTTTTATTATCAGAATGTGTTTTGTGAAGATTTTAGAAATTTCACAGATTTAAATCATGAGTCAGTTGAAGCTAGACCACTATAAAAAACCTGGAAGCACTGGGCGGCCGTTTCATCCTGGTATGGGACACCTCAGCAGTGAGCATTCACGATCCCTCACCACGCAGGGCTTGAAACCAGGAAAAAACTGGTTTCGAGCGCGAGCACTTAACCACTAGACTACTGAGCCGGCATTCAACGGTGTTAATGTTTAAGTGTTTTGATATCACATAACTTAAACGTATGTATGTGAAGACAGACCACAAAAGATACATCAGAAATAAAGGCAATACAGCTTACTCAGTTTATCAAGGCCTGATTAAAGATTTGTAGTCAAGAAACAAGTTAACAGATAGATAATGAGTGAAGTAAGCGATGAATATAGAAAGGTTCAAGGTTAAAGACGAAGAACTGATAAGATTTATTACAAGGAGATGTAACTGATCAACTGTTTTGTCTGTCCAAAAGGTGGTATAACTTAACTGAGAGTGTATTATGGTTTATCACGTGCTTTTCATCAATTGTATGAAATTCCTAAGAGTTTTCTTTTCAACGTTCCCATGAATGTCATAGTTTCTGTGTTCAATATTGAAACTCCGCATACCGATGTATAAAGATGCTCAATAGAAATTATGCGAACAAAAATTCCTACTGATACCTCAGCACTTTGAAGTTCATAATCAAATGAAAAATGTAATGTTCCAGAAAATTGTTTGCTTTTTTCAGCATCGCTAGATTATTTCAATACATCAAACAATGAAGTGATGGCGTTTGAAGCGGAAGATACTCGGTTCGAGTCTCAGAGTAAGCATCAACTCCGAGATGCAGGTACATTCAGCTGACAAGTCCCAAATAAGAAGAAACTCGCGTGTTGATTTCCATTACAAACGACTATCAATATTTTCTATAGTTCGGTAATTATTACCAATCTATCATGAAATTTGATTAAATCTCTTATACTGTTCTACATAAATCAGTTCAATAAAAAATTGGACAGTATTCACAAAAACTACACAAATCACTAACGCTTACATGACCTTGATTTTCTTGCTTATCTTGTCTTTTTAGGTGACCAATTAATGCTTTTCACTTATTATCGTCGCCGTATACTCAGTCAGTTATCTTTCGGTATGTTACAATGCATTCAGTGCATGATTTCACAAAGTAGATTACAATCATTCCTTCATCTTAATCAGTTGAATTATCAAAACAAATATCTTATTTATTAAGATGTGATCCCAAATCAGTCGAAAGGCGAATACTAGCAGTCAGACGTAATCGGGAATGTGTGTGTAGAAATTCATGTTTATATGTCTATGAGTTAAGTAGTTGAACATTTCCTGTTACTGGATATTATAAAGTGACAATAAACAACAGACTGACAGACTGTATATGTTCTGTAATCACTTTACTTCACGATACAACATTATCCTGTTGTCATTCAATGATGCCTCAAAAACAGCCATGAGGTCATTCGACTCATGAGGACACAGATAAACAAAATCAAAAATCTTCCGTCCAAAATTTGACAGAAAATAAACGTGTGTAGTGCTTATGCATTTGCTTAAATTACTTTCACAAGTTTCACCATGTAGTAGTTCATCGTGAGAAGTTGAGGAATTTCCGAAATGCAAACCACCTAATATTGATCTAAACTAGTCTCCTTATTATTTAACTTTCTGACTATAAGTGTATCATAAACGAAATTGCATGAACAATCACAATGGCTATTCGAGCACATGCTGGATGATATGAGAAACTACATTCTTAAACATAGATGTTGATTATTTACCGTACAAACAACTTTGAGCAACAAAATTACCCAACATTCAAGATATAACTGATCTCTATAAGGAAATTCCGATTTCAAATCGATAAAAGATTGAAGGAAAGGTTTCAAGAAATCTAACCTCTTCAGATGGAAGAGTTTCGAAAACAAAAGATGACAGTTTTATCATACTCACCGATAGTTGAACATTACGTTGACATTATTTATTTGACATTGGTTGAAGTCAGTAACTCGATGGACATATGAAAATCTGTTTAATCAGCGTTTATCAAACAATCGCTTTGAGTGTCATTACTAATTTCTTTAAATTATTCTAACTACTGATAAACCATTAGGTAGTGTATAAATGAGTATCAAAAAATGAAACCATCTCAACCATTTGCATAAATATTATGTATAAATTGTCAGAAAACATTTTATTAACACCTTTTAACAACCCGTCTGTCAATATTTGTCGAACAACATAGCTTTGAACTCATAGGTGAGTGGTGAATAAAATGTGAGCTGGTCGGTTCAGTATTCGACTATCTAAATCTGATATTTTGCAAGAATTGGAGTCTGTAAAGAAAGGATGCAGTAGTGATTTAATGATTATATCATTCGATTGTCTATAGTAATCATCGTTTCAATATAAGTAGACGTTCGTCGTGCACCTGATTGTTAACTCCTTTATGGTTTTACCAGGAACTGCAGTTTGTGCTCATCTATCTATGTAGGTTCTTTACAACTAAATCTCACTGTTTAAGATAGAGAATATCAGTGAATTGATGAGACTAATACATCAAATGGCATCATCAGGTTACTTCTACTGTCATTTTTCCAATTATTATTAGACTCAGAGTCATTGTTTTAAGCTAACATTAACCATTCATTTATATAGTAGATTTATGATTTACATCAGCCATTCAACCGCGTTATACCACATTCAAAATTGTTCGTCTTCAAGAATAATCAGAGAAACAAGACAGTTTTTATGAGCTTTGAGAAGATCATATACTTCACGTGTTATTGTCCTTGTAGGTTTCAGAATGAGTCGGATGAACGTTGTGAGATACGAACTTATATTCTTATGGTTATTAAAGTCTTAGATATTTGGTTCTAAACTATATCTATCACGTACTTATGGTTTACAAGCATTTTTATTCGTTCTTTCATCACTGAGTACAATGGTCATTTGCTTCACCACAGTTTTACTCAACACTTATTTGGTTTGTTTGATCAACAAGTGACTTTTCATCTGGATTCAATTCCCAGTGTACAATTTTAAATGTCCTAATATTAGTAGTTGTAGTAGTAGTCATTAATCAATCATCAGTACCGAAATATGGTGTAGGCCTCAATATACGCAAGGGAAAATACACACTCGAAGGAGCAACTCTGGAAAATATGAAAACTTTCACTTACCTGGCCAGTATAATCGATGAACAAAGTAGATCGGATGCAGACGTAAACACAAGGATTGGCTGATCATTGGCAGCATTCCTAAAATGTCATTAGCAACAACCTACTGTGGGAGAGAACAAATCGGCTTCTTGTTGAAGAAAAAATTAGAAAAAGACGCTGAAGGCGGGTAGGACATACCTTGCAGAAATCATGACACCCCGCCATGGTGCAAGCCCTAACTTACGATACTGAAATCAACATGAAAAATGCAGACCGAAGAAGATATTGTGCTGGAAGCAGCAGCCACATCAAAACGATGGATAGCACTTCGTAAGGACATAGTTAGTTGAAAAACACTGCTCCTCGGCCTATGCACCACAAGCACCAACAAGCGTAATATAAAAGGGTAGAGGCAACTGATCTGAAGCCAGTGATTTTGACGAATGATATCTACATCCGTAAGTTTAAATACTGGCATCTGCGAAAAAAGGTTTACTGAGAAAAATAAAACATAAATATACTTACATCATTGAGGTGACAAATGAACTGCAGCAAAGTTCTGATAGTACTTGTCTCCGTTACTGAAAAAAGTTATATATGTAAACGTCACTTTATCACAGTTTGTAATATTTATTTCTCATGTGTGCCCAGGTTTCGCGTTATTTAACATTCACTGGCAAGGTGTACCTGTAATCTTGAAGGAACTGATGCTCCTTAGAAGGTTTGATCCCGCATCATCCAATTTCAATATCAGAGTTGTTATCACTGAGTTTATGGGATAGTGATTGACGTCCTGTACATATAACTGCTGGAATCTGTTCCGCGCTGATATTTATAGATTTGGATCCGTGCCAGATGTTCTGTCGTACTTGATCTTATTTGTCAATGAATTGTCGTGATAAATTGATTATGTATATACATTTGATTTTTCTTATATTTTGAATAAAACATCTATTCAGAAAGAATAGTTTGGTAATAATAATAATAGTAATAATGAGAGTTTTCATTAGGATTATCTTATGTCAGCAGTATTAAAAGTGACTTTTGTATCGATGACCTTGAATTCAAATGGAATTCACCTCGTTTTACACAAAGTTAAGCATTTAAAGAAAATGAACAAGCAATTCGATGAATTGTTCAATGCAATACTTAATATAACCTTAAAAGAGATACACTAATAAAAAGATAGACAAATATCATAGAAAGATTCAAATTTTTGTTTATTCTCTCCACAAACAAATAGAAGATTGTTTTTTAATTTATTTAATAAACATCCACTTAAAATGAATTACATGAATATTAACTCATCATGAGGAATATGAACATTCACAGAAGAAGTAGATCATCGTTACACAATATACAGTGTATATTGAAATGTGTATCAAGAGCGATTCCTATTTCAGGAACATCAGCCGAATGAAAGTTTCTACAACAGTTGATGAAAAATTCAGGACATTAAACCGGTAAATTACGCTTCAAAAGTAATAGAATCATCCACTCAGTTACTATTTGCTACAACTGTTTGTAAAATTGATAACTTGTCCGTTCATATAATTCATCATAATCCAGTACTGACAACTGATTCAACCTCTGAAAATTGTATACAATGTGAATTGAATCCAGATGAAAAGTCACTTGTTGATCAAACAAACCAAATAAGTGTTGAGTAAAACTGTGGTGAAGCAAATGACCATTGTACTCAGTGATGAAAGAACGAATAAAAATGCTTGTAAACCATAAATACGTGATAGATATAGTTTAGAACCAAATATCTAAGACTTTAATAACCATAAGAATATAAGTTCGTATCTCACAACGTTCATCCGACTCATTCTGAAACCTACAAGGACAATAACACGTGAAGTATATGATCTTCTCAAAGCTCATAAAAACTGTCTTGTTTCTCTGATTATTCTTGAAGACGAACAATTTTGAATGTGGTATAACGCGGTTGAATGGCTGATGTAAATCATAAATCTACTATATAAATGAATGGTTAATGTTAGCTTAAAACAATGACTCTGAGTCTAATAATAATTGGAAAAATGACAGTAGAAGTAACCTGATGATGCCATTTGATGTATTAGTCTCATCAATTCACTGATATTCTCTATCTTAAACAGTGAGATTTAGTTGTAAAGAACCTACATAGATAGATGAGCACAAACTGCAGTTCCTGGTAAAACCATAAAGGAGTTAACAATCAGGTGCACGACGAACGTCTACTTATATTGAAACGATGATTACTATAGACAATCGAATGATATAATCATTAAATCACTACTGCATCCTTTCTTTACAGACTCCAATTCTTGCAAAATATCAGATTTAGATAGTCGAATACTGAACCGACCAGCTCACATTTTATTCACCACTCACCTATGAGTTCAAAGCTATGTTGTTCGACAAATATTGACAGACGGGTTGTTAAAAGGTGTTAATAAAATGTTTTCTGACAATTTATACATAATATTTATGCAAATGGTTGAGATGGTTTCATTTTTTGATACTCATTTATACACTACCTAATGGTTTATCAGTAGTTAGAATAATTTAAAGAAATTAGTAATGACACTCAAAGCGATTGTTTGATAAACGCTGATTAAACAGATTTTCATATGTCCATCGAGTTACTGACTTCAACCAATGTCAAATAAATAATGTCAACGTAATGTTCAACTATCGGTGAGCATGATAAAACTGTCATCTTTTGTTTTCGAAACTCTTCCATCTGAAGAGGTTAGATTTCTTGAAACCTTTCCTTCAATCTTTTATCGATTTGAAATCGGAATTTCCTTATAGAGATCAGTTATATCTTGAATGTTGGGTAATTTTGTTGCTCAAAGTTGTTTGTACGGTAAATAATCAACATCTATGTTTAAGAATGTAGTTTCTCATATCATCCAGCATGTGCTCGAATAGCCATTGTGATTGTTCATGCAATTTCGTTTATGATACACTTATAGTCAGAAAGTTAAATAATAAGGAGACTAGTTTAGATCAATATTAGGTGGTTTGCATTTCGGAAATTCCTCAACTTCTCACGATGAACTACTACATGGTGAAACTTGTGAAAGTAATTTAAGCAAATGCATAAGCACTACACACGTTTATTTTCTGTCAAATTTTGGACGGAAGATTTTTGATTTTGTTTATCTGTGTCCTCATGAGTCGAATGACCTCATGGCTGTTTTTGAGGCATCATTGAATGACAACAGGATAATGTTGTATCGTGAAGTAAAGTGATTACAGAACATATACAGTCTGTCAGTCTGTTGTTTATTGTCACTTTATAATATCCAGTAACAGGAAATGTTCAACTACTTAACTCATAGACATATAAACATGAATTTCTACACACACATTCCCGATTACGTCTGACTGCTAGTATTCGCCTTTCGACTGATTTGGGATCACATCTTAATAAATAAGATATTTGTTTTGATAATTCAACTGATTAAGATGAAGGAATGATTGTAATCTACTTTGTGAAATCATGCACTGAATGCATTGTAACATACCGAAAGATAACTGACTGAGTATACGGCGACGATAATAAGTGAAAAGCATTAATTGGTCACCTAAAAAGACAAGATAAGCAAGAAAATCAAGGTCATGTAAGCGTTAGTGATTTGTGTAGTTTTTGTGAATACTGTCCAATTTTTTATTGAACTGATTTATGTAGAACAGTATAAGAGATTTAATCAAATTTCATGATAGATTGGTAATAATTACCGAACTATAGAAAATATTGATAGTCGTTTGTAATGGAAATCAACACGCGAGTTTCTTCTTATTTGGGACTTGTCAGCTGAATGTACCTGCATCTCGGAGTTGATGCTTACTCTGAGACTCGAACCGAGTATCTTCCGCTTCAAACGCCATCACTTCATTGTTTGATGTATTGAAATAATCTAGCGATGCTGAAAAAAGCAAACAATTTTCTGGAACATTACATTTTTCATTTGATTATGAACTTCAAAGTGCTGAGGTATCAGTAGGAATTTTTGTTCGCATAATTTCTATTGAGCATCTTTATACATCGGTATGCGGAGTTTCAATATTGAACACAGAAACTATGACATTCATGGGAACGTTGAAAAGAAAACTCTTAGGAATTTCATACAATTGATGAAAAGCACGTGATAAACCATAATACACTCTCAGTTAAGTTATACCACCTTTTGGACAGACAAAACAGTTGATCAGTTACATCTCCTTGTAATAAATCTTATCAGTTCTTCGTCTTTAACCTTGAACCTTTCTATATTCATCGCTTACTTCACTCATTATCTATCTGTTAACTTGTTTCTTGACTACAAATCTTTAATCAGGCCTTGATAAACTGAGTAAGCTGTATTGCCTTTATTTCTGATGTATCTTTTGTGGTCTGTCTTCACATACATACGTTTAAGTTATGTGATATCAAAACACTTAGACATTAACACCGTTGGACGTCGGCTCAGTGATATAGAGATTGGGCATTCGCGCTCGAGATCAAGGGTCATAGGTACCTACCCCGCGTCCGGGATCTTGAGTGAACACTTCTGAGGAGTCCAGCACAAGGAAGAAACGGTAGTTCAGTGTTTTCAGGTTTTCACTTTTTGTTAAGCTTGAATAGAGTCAAGAATTCGACTATCATGAGTACTACTACAACTACGTATTGCCACTACTACTACTACTACTACTACTACTACTACTACTACTACTACTACTACTACTACTACTACTACTACTACTACTACTACTACTACTACTACTACTACTACTACTACTACTACTACTACTACTACTACTACTACTACTACTACTACTACTACTACTACTACTACTACTACTACTACTACTACTACTACTACTACTACTACTACTACTACTACTACTACTACTACTACTACTACTACTACTACTACTACTACTACTACTACTACTACTACTACTACTACTACTACTACTACTACTACTACTACTACTACTACTACTACTACTACTACTACTACTACTACTACTACTACTACTACTACTACTACTACTACTACTACTACTACTACTACTACTACTACTACTACTACTACTACTACTACTACTACTACTACTACTACTACTACTACTACTACTACTACTACTACTACTACTACTACTACTACTACTACTACTACTACTACTACTACTACTACTACTACTACTACTACTACTACTACTACTACTACTACTACTACTACTACTACTACTACTACTACTACTACTACTACTACTACTACTACTACTACTACTACTACTACTACTACTACTACTACTACTACTACTACTACTACTACTACTACTACTACTACTACTACTACTACTACTACTACTACTACTACTACTACTACTACTACTACTACTACTACTACTACTACTACTACTACTACTACTACTACTACTACTACTACTACTACTACTACTACTACTACTACTACTACTACTACTACTACTACTACTACTACTACTACTACTACTACTACTACTACTACTACTACTACTACTACTACTACTACTACTACTACTACTACTACTACTACTACTACTACTACTACTACTACTACTACTACTACTACTACTACTACTACTACTACTACTACTACTACTACTACTACTACTACTACTACTACTACTACTACTACTACTACTACTACTACTACTACTACTACTACTACTACTACTACTACTACTACTACTACTACTACTACTACTACTACTACTACTACTACTACTACTACTACTACTACTACTACTACTACTACTACTACTACTACTACTACTACTACTACTACTACTACTACTACTACTACTACTACTACTACTACTACTACTACTACTACTACTACTACTACTACTACTACTACTACTACTACTACTACTACTACTACTACTACTACTACTACTACTACTACTACTACTACTACTACTACTACTACTACTACTACTACTACTACTACTACTACTACTACTACTACTACTACTACTACTACTACTACTACTACTACTACTACTACTACTACTACTACTACTACTACTACTACTACTACTACTACTACTACTACTACTACTACTACTACTACTACTACTACTACTACTACTACTACTACTACTACTACTACTACTACTACTACTACTACTACTACTACTACTACTACTACTACTACTACTACTACTACTACTACTACTACTACTACTACTACTACTACTACTACTACTACTACTACTACTACTACTACTACTACTACTACTACTACTACTACTACTACTACTACTACTACTACTACTACTACTACTACTACTACTACTACTACTACTACTACTACTACTACTACTACTACTACTACTACTACTACTACTACTACTACTACTACTACTACTACTACTACTACTACTACTACTACTACTACTACTACTACTACTACTACTACTACTACTACTACTACTACTACTACTACTACTACTACTACTACTACTACTACTACTACTACTACTACTACTACTACTACTACTACTACTACTACTACTACTACTACTACTACTACTACTACTACTACTACTACTACTACTACTACTACTACTACTACTACTACTACTACTACTACTACTACTACTACTACTACTACTACTACTACTACTACTACTACTACTACTACTACTACTACTACTACTACTACTACTACTACTACTACTACTACTACTACTACTACTACTACTACTACTACTACTACTACTACTACTACTACTACTACTACTACTACTACTACTACTACTACTACTACTACTACTACTACTACTACTACTACTACTACTACTACTACTACTACTACTACTACTACTACTACTACTACTACTACTACTACTACTACTACTACTACTACTACTACTACTACTACTACTACTACTACTACTACTACTACTACTACTACTACTACTACTACTACTACTACTACTACTACTACTACTACTACTACTACTACTACTACTACTACTACTACTACTACTACTACTACTACTACTACTACTACTACTACTACTACTACTACTACTACTACTACTACTACTACTACTACTACTACTACTACTACTACTACTACTACTACTACTACTACTACTACTACTACTACTACTACTACTACTACTACTACTACTACTACTACTACTACTACTACTACTACTACTACTACTACTACTACTACTACTACTACTACTACTACTACTACTACTACTACTACTACTACTACTACTACTACTACTACTACTACTACTACTACTACTACTACTACTACTACTACTACTACTACTACTACTACTACTACTACTACTACTACTACTACTACTACTACTACTACTACTACTACTACTACTACTACTACTACTACTACTACTACTACTACTACTACTACTACTACTACTACTACTACTACTACTACTACTACTACTACTACTACTACTACTACTACTACTACTACTACTACTACTACTACTACTACTACTACTACTACTACTACTACTACTACTACTACTACTACTACTACTACTACTACTACTACTACTACTACTACTACTACTACTACTACTACTACTACTACTACTACTACTACTACTACTACTACTACTACTACTACTACTACTACTACTACTACTACTACTACTACTACTACTACTACTACTACTACTACTACTACTACTACTACTACTACTACTACTACTACTACTACTACTACTACTACTACTACTACTACTACTACTACTACTACTACTACTACTACTACTACTACTACTACTACTACTACTACTACTACTACTACTACTACTACTACTACTACTACTACTACTACTACTACTACTACTACTACTACTACTACTACTACTACTACTACTACTACTACTACTACTACTACTACTACTACTACTACTACTACTACTACTACTACTACTACTACTACTACTACTACTACTACTACTACTACTACTACTACTACTACTACTACTACTACTACTACTACTACTACTACTACTACTACTACTACTACTACTACTACTACTACTACTACTACTACTACTACTACTACTACTACTACTACTACTACTACTACTACTACTACTACTACTACTACTACTACTACTACTACTACTACTACTACTACTACTACTACTACTACTACTACTACTACTACTACTACTACTACTACTACTACTACTACTACTACTACTACTACTACTACTACTACTACTACTACTACTACTACTACTACTACTACTACTACTACTACTACTACTACTACTACTACTACTACTACTACTACTACTACTACTACTACTACTACTACTACTACTACTACTACTACTACTACTACTACTACTACTACTACTACTACTACTACTACTACTACTACTACTACTACTACTACTACTACTACTACTACTACTACTACTACTACTACTACTACTACTACTACTACTACTACTACTACTACTACTACTACTACTACTACTACTACTACTACTACTACTACTACTACTACTACTACTACTACTACTACTACTACTACTACTACTACTACTACTACTACTACTACTACTACTACTACTACTACTACTACTACTACTACTACTACTACTACTACTACTACTACTACTACTACTACTACTACTACTACTACTACTACTACTATTACTACTACTATTACTACTACTAACTACTTGTTATAATTAATGAGAAACTGAAATTCCGAGTGTATTTCTCTGTCCAGTTTTTCAGTCAAGACATAAAACATGAAATAGCTGTACCTGCATAATGGATCTAAATTTGTATGAATTGACAGAAATGATCAGGATACTCATTATATGAAATTATTCGACTGCTTTTTCGAGATAACTGCCTGTTGGACTTTACAGGTCGTTTTCAGTGTCACCAAATTCCACAATGTGAAGAAGTTTATTTATAAAGCAGGACATTCTTTTGCTAATAATGTATAATGACGTGTATTCTTCTTTCAATGACTAAGCAAATGCATTGTAATTGTTGACGTGAACATTAAAACAAAGCACCACCTGATATCAATTTTTGAAGATGAACTACGTTCTCAACGAATTGTTAGTAAGGTTATTTCAAAATTCTACATGAATTCGTATAATTGTGCGGATGATCACAAAATACCGATAAAACTTGTTTGAGTGAAGTAGCATAACGTGTTGACAAATAGTGAGATTTTGTCAACTCGCATTGTTGAAGTCCTGAACAATGATTTGTGATTCTCTATTGAGAACCTGGATAGATTGTTTTAATAAAGCTGTTAATTTTCAGTTTATTGATTCAAATTTGAATGGTGATTACCTGTGACATCCAGAATACAAATTTCATCACACAAATCAGTGATCAATTAGTTGTTGAATGGTGTGTACCTATCACTCTGATTGCCCGATCGGTACTACATGTTCAAATGATTGCACAAATGCAAACCCTTTATTACTAATTGTTGAATCCTTTTCTATCTTCATTACCAACACTAGTGTATGATGAATAATGTGTTACTCGAATAAAAGATGATGTTTAGTAATAAATTGTGATGTTCCGTTTATTCAGATGTACTCCGAAGTTTGCAATTCGAGCACTCAAGCACTCATCTTTATTCAATTGAATCTGTTGACTTGTTTTATAAACGTTTCACATTTTATTTGCAAATAAGTAGTATTGTGTATACGTGATTTTGTGATTGCCGCAATCAACAATGAGTCCGTTGTGAATGTTCATTCTAATGAAGTCTCACTACTGAGAAATATTATCTGAAATTAACGATGGTCATTGTTATGAACTGAGTTGTCAGATTACCTAATCAACACACCATTAGGCACTTTCATCTTTCATTATTTGAATACATAGTAACAGAATGTTGTATAAACCAAATCGAATAGAATGTGAACGGAGAGTAATTATTATGACAATGAAGTGTTATACAATGAATGGGAGATGTGCAAATGAAGTACTCAAGTGATTCTCATTTCTAATTAATTGTGTGTGCGTATGTGTGTGTTGAAGTACAATCAACAATGAAGTAACAGCTTAGTTAAAATCAATTGATCGATGTATATCAAAAAAAAACATCACACGAGAACAGACACTGATTAATGTAGGAATAAAGGAACGATCAAGTTTAAGACAATTGACTGACGTTTTGCAAATGAAGACTTTACCGCATAGTCGTCAGTATTTACAGAGATTTTGCAATTTTGTATTCAGATACGTTTGATTGTCCATACTTCAGTTCTCGACCCAAACTTGACAATTCTATTTCAAAATATCAGTCAATTGTCCCAATGTCTTCAATGTTCCTGCATTTTCATACTAATTACAGGCTTTTTGAGTTAGCACTCACTGCATTACTTGATAACTGATAGATACAATACAATTCAATGTTAGTCATGGTTAACATCGAAATCCATTAGACTTATTAACCTGTTTTATAAAATAATTTACCCATTGACGTGTCCAACTCATTAACAAGAACAAATCAATGGTCTGATCATCAGTTTTGTTTTATAAGTACCTAACAAATATTTCCCATCAGATAATGCCCGTGATCAGAGATGGGTAGATTCTTCAAGTTCGATCGGTAATCGGATGGATTAATGAGACACTATGAAGTGAGAACGAAAATTTTTTTCAATTTCAAATGTGGAAAAATTAAAGACGAATTTAGAAATCAACGATGATGTCCATCGAATGACTCGTTTATTCCAAGATAACTTTTTTTCTGAAACCATTTTAATTCTGATTTGAAAACGAATTATTGATTGCCTTATGGTGTTTGCTACTGATGTAGACAGATATAAGTAGTATATATCACCAGTCGAAAGTAAAATACCTGATGACAAAAGGTTAATGAGGTTGAAGTCATGAGAACGAGGACAGAGAATAATTGGTGTGGAAACAAAGAAACGATCAAGTCTTAGACAATTGATTGACATTTTTCAAATGAACACTTCACCGCATGGTTACTGTATTTTAAAAAAAGATTCTGTAATCTTGTATTCATTTGGTCGTCTCCGTCTGTATTATCGTTCACTACGAGAGTAGTAAGCGATAAAATGAAGGAGACGATTTTTGATTTATCTAGACCCAACCTATTTCGAGCTTCATTAAATCACTGTGATAAATAAACAATCCGAAACAATATTTAGTCATTGATAATTCATTTTCTTAGTCTCAAAACATTTTTTAAAATTTAACTATTATTGTATTGAATTTAATTGGTATTGCTTGATTGTGTCTTCACGTTCTATTTTAGAACTGCAATTGGTCAGTCTCATACTGGCATATATGCATCCTGTGCGGACTGCCTCGATACTGCCTCAAGTCATATGCATTATAAGCAAAGATAGATGGTGGCTACCAGTGGAATCCTTGAAATGCATTTCCTTCAATTTGGACTCGTCGGCTGCACGTACCAGGGATCTAGGTACATCCATCTGACATGTCTCATATGAGACACACATACAGTAAATACGTTAATCGTAAAATATTAATCGACTTTCTCAAACTTGACTATTCCTTTTGCAAATATCAGTCAATCGTCTCAGAATCCAATATTCTTGAATTTCCATACCAATTACATTTCGCTATCGTTCTTCCCTTCTCAATCTTCTGCTGTCAGACATTCTATTCCTGACTCGCGACATATACTACTCATGTCGATATAAGTAGCACACATCGCATTACTTGATAACTGATAGATACAATACAATTCAATGTTAATCATGGTTGTCATCGAAATTCATCGTAACTATAAACCTGATTTTATGAGATAATTTATTCATAGATGTGTCTAACTCATTAACATGAACATATCAATGGTCTTACCATCACTTTTGTTCTATAAGTAAATGTAATTTTGTATTTAGTACTGTGAGATTCTTCAATATTAAAGTCAATATAGTTCTACCGTGAGGAGCTGAAACATGGTAGACTACTAAAACATAATGTATTTCAAAACAGTTGTCTACTCGTGATACTCAATATCCGTAGACCGGATACCTTCACTAACAGCCTACTATGGGACAGAACAAACCAATTTCTATTTGAAGAGGAAATCACGAAAAGACTTTGGAAGTGGATTGGATACACTTTGAGGAACTCAACAAACTGCATCATGAGGGAACCACAAACTTGAAATTCCTGATGCGAAAGGAGAAGAGAAAAGCAGAATAGTATGCTATGTCCGCAATTCGAAGCAGACATGAAAAGGATGAATAGCAACTGGAAATGATTGCTTAGGAAAGAGTTGGATGAAGAGTGTTGATGGGCGACTTATGCTCATCCACGAAATGCAATAGCAAGTAGGTAGTATGGTTTTACTTACTTCTTCATAAGGCAATAAATATATGTGGTACCGTTTCTAATTAGTCGCTCAATTTTAAGAGTTGTTATTTTAAATCTGATTCGTTGCTTAGTCAAGTGAATAATTTTATGAATTTGAATTACTTCCGAGCCTGGTTACATTTGTCAATGGACTTGAAGAAGAAAGAAACAAGAAATGCATTTCAATACATTTCAATAAGTATTTATTTAACCAAACACAATATATTCAACATTTCCTTTCACAACACAAATTCCACTACAACTACGGTTCCTCTAGATCATCGATATCACATTTTAGATTTAAATGAAATTCCGGCATATTTTCTATGGATCTAAACTGATTGAACGCAGAATTCGACGAAACTATGAACATAGACAAAACAGTAAACAATAAATGGGGTGTTATGTTTTTCAGAAATAGACATGTTTTCACTCTTGAATCCACAAGTCGAACTAAGCTAGACAAACGGTGAAAACTTGAAGCATTGGATGGACTTTTCGTCCTAGTGAGCGACTCCTCAGAAGTGCGGATCCGCGACCCGCATGCGGGGACTCGAAGGCAAGTCCTCTGGTTTCGCTGGCTTACTCACAAACTCCAGATCACTGAGTTGGCATCCAATTGTGTTAACGTCTAACCTAAACCAATACACAGTATTTCACAAGCCTACACCCATTGTTTAAGGTGGACAAATTTCTTATATTCGACACAGATTCGACTTCACTTCGATCGGCTCGTGAATTCAATGTTGAAAATACTATAATTTACACAAATTATTATACTGATAAAAACTGGTTTTGCAAAATTACGAATCAAAGCACAATTCAAGAACTATTTAACAACTAATATGGAGTGGATAATCATTTGTGGTACTTCAGTAGAATACAACAAATGACTGAAGCCAAGTTATTAATTCGCACAATGATTGAGAAGATTTGATTAAATTTTTTAAATAGATCAACGGACTCTAGTGGTTGTTATTAAATGTTGCCCTAAGACGAAACACTAGGGATCAAGGCATATTATCAGAACTGCGGTCACTATCACGGATCCAATCACTAGTGGATACATGAGATCTAAATGTCATAGGTTCAGTCTTATATTTACTGAAGTGTTCAAAGATTTTAATAGATCTTAAACTATAATAAAAACCCCCAATCCATTATATCTTGATTTAAAATGATTACTTTCTGTTACATATACCCTTATGAAATTGGTTATTGCATAAAATGTATACCTATTATGGTGCGAACAGAAAGCGGGTGAAAGATCTTTACAGACAGTCTGAAAATTTCAACGGAATACTGTTTACAAACAATAACTAGTTGAATTCAACCATTCCAGATGATGATAGCACAATATTGCAAATCAATAGAGATAAGATCAACAAAATTTCACTTCAATGTTGACTGGTATCATAGTTATCAAGAACATAAACGGTTGTATATCCAGTTATGCATTAAATTGATAAATGAGCCTACCTAAAGAGAATCGAAAAAAACATTGCTCTCCTGTGCCTCCATCGATAACAAACAATTCAACTTGTAGTGTTAGTCATGAGTTTTAGCCCATGATATATCTTATTCTAGTTTTCGGACATTCCACTCTATTCATTCTACTTGAGCCATACGTTGACCATGTTAATTATTCGCTTGTCAGTCTTGATTGTTTTTATATGAGCGTATATGTGTGTACACTTCATGTCCCATGACTCATCACATGTCTATGGTTAGGGTTTTGTCTGCCTATAAATATTGAGTAATGCCTGGCTTGAAATGGAGTTGGCTTCCCAGCCATCTTCCCTGCGCGTCATTTTGCTCTGTTCCATCGCATTCACTTTACATACGAAATATATGTATTCAAAGGCCACTCTCGTTAATTGACTTATCTAAGTTCTGTTATTGGATAACGTGATTTAAGTCGACGATTATATACGAGAATAGGCGATAACAATCATTTATACGATCTAAATTGGAGTCAGATCCACGGGTCACTAAAAACTGTTTCTGTCTACCCATAATAATTAATCTTTGTTCCTATTCTATTCGATTCTATGTTTTCAGTCTTCTCCTGCTAAACCATTCATTAGTGTTTGGTGTTATATACTATTTACATTTGTAGACACAAGTAACAAACATCGCGATGTGATTTGTAAATATCATTTTATCGAGACTAAGAGCTCCATTACTATTACTCTAACACTGTAAAATATGGCTTATGAAATGCAAGATTTGAGTAGATCTTGAGCAATTCATAATAGGTAAGAATTAAGTTATGGGAAGGGTACTAAGTTCAAATGGCAAGTCGATAAGTGCTGCATTGAATCTTCATTGATTATGATAGTTCAAGAGTTTATTATGTATAACAAGGCGTAGCCCACAGAAAAATGAAAAACGGGTTACTTTAGGAGAAGATCAGCTCAACGATAGGGTTGAGAAGACCTTAACGCAATTAATGTACATTAATTCAGTGAATCGTGATGTTTATCATATTGCTGGGTACAAACCTATTGATTAGAATTCATACAATAGTTGTAATGCAGGTGATATAAATCAGTAATTTTTTAAATAAAAGTATGAAAAATGGCTAAGGTTGTGAACTCGATTAATATCTAGGATTAAGAGTTGGAAAGAACAAGAATTGTAATCACCTAAATGAACACGTAACTAGTTAATTCTTTGATTATAACTACCATGAACCTTAACATTGTAGTAAAGCAATTCGGAAATCATAATCTTTATAACTTAGTCTTCTTGCTTGCCAGTAATCAGTATTTGAGTGCACATTTGGCCCTTAATATAACTAGTAGTGGAATCCAGGGTGTGTTTACTTCATATTCGGCACCTGTCGGCTGCATGCACTCCATTCCCAATGTTGATGTTAATCTTGAAACTCGATTCTGATACATATCACTTCAAAGATCAACAAATTTTATAATAATTTACTGAGTCCGACAAACCATTGGCATACTCACTGGACATAAAATTATCTGAACGTAATTCTTTGGTAATTCTATGAACTGAGAAAAGTTGGCCTCTGTTGGTGACGTTTTGTTCTCTGAACTGAATGATTCATTCGGGAAGCTTCCATCGTTCTTTTTAACAAATTCATTAGGACAAACTTCAGGTAAAAATTATGTATTCAAATTTCTCCGCGTATGACTGACGGTTTGCCCTGTCCACCTTGATCCTGGTTAGTTAGTACTAATCTTCAACCTGTCATGAGATGTTATTTGCCTTTTCTTCATTTGTCAGTTTATCATATGATTTGCATAAGATCGATTCAAGTAATTTTGCTAGTTTATGTGCTACACTTATTCTAAACGGTTTTACTAATCTTGTTGATGTTGTTGAGATGAAAAATGAAAGCTCGATGATTAAATCATACATCAACGAGAAAATAACAGAATGAAGATCATCCACTTGAGCTACAACTTTCCACCATCTCTTGATTAGCCTCTATTAGTCCATGTGCATCGTAAGAGGAACGCTCAGATATCGTCTTTCAATTACTTTTATAACAGAACGAATATTCACAAAATTGAAACTCTCGGAGTTAATATCAGAATCATTATTATTTGTACTTTTGTTGTATAATTAGTAAATAACGTCATCACAGAATTTCTGACCCCCCGTGTTGTAAACCTTCAGTGGACCCATTGACCATTGTGATACCTTACACCATCCCCTAATTATTGCTAACTAGTTATATACTGTTTGCTCCACACTATTCTACTTATGATCAGATTTAAGGTGAGTTTTCTTATTTGGTGTTTTATGTGATTAGACACTTCAAATATATTATTGTGTGAGTCTTGAGTCATGATTGAGTTAGGTACAACAGAGAGATAATCTGACTCCTATGGTCATATTATTATCGACTACTGGGTTGAAAGGGACTGATAATCATTTAGGCTTTGATTACTGTTCTTTGACTAGTGTGTTAATTTTTCAAATCGCTTACCAGTTCAACTGGCGATACAGTGCGTGCTGTCAGTTAGAATTTCTAGTCATAGCACATCAACCTTTCTCGAAACATAACGGTTACAAGTCTTGACGCATTTAAAAAGTGACTAACAGCGGTATTTGAAAAGTGCTTCCCGACTGACTGGTTGAAGTTCTTAATATAAACAACAGAAAAATGCAAATTCTGGAATATACACTGGAAGGAACCAAAAACATGAAAGTTTGGATGATACATAACTCAAGATTTTAAGGAAGTTAGTGAATGAATACATTTCAGCTACTCCGACCGTAGCTGATACCTTGACGCAGTAGTCGATCATGCCTATTGTGATGACTCAACCGAGCTATATTAGCTGGAACATATGTTCCTGTAGGTTTTACCATGCCAGGAAGGTCGATTGGAGAACGGTAAGTTTAAAAGCAGCAACTCAACGTCTGAGGGCGAAGTCGTACTGCTGGCTATAGAGAAGTGAGACAGCAGTAAGGCGTTTCCGTCGGACAACCAGCATCTGCAGCGATGCTGCCTTCTCACGTGGAAGGATGGGGCTAGAAAAAGTCGACCCTAAATGAGTCACACCTCACCTAATCTCACGGATTTCCGTCTCCGGCGATAAGGCCTTTTGAAGAACGGAGCTAACACGTCAACAACCTCCCACAAACAGGCCGTGCGCGACCAGCCTCAAGCAGTTGTTCCCTGGGCTCTGCGATCACGCACACAGGTTGTTAAGGCCGAAATTAATCCGATTTTCTTTTCAGGTTCCTCAAGAAATAATCTTCCACGGTGTGGTCAGCCGGGAAGTGACACTAGCCCTCATACCCATAACAGCACACGAGACCACGTTGGTCACATTCAAATCCTTCCTAAACCTTCTAATACCTCTCTTATCTCCATGACTAACCCTCCTCACGTCTCTTTATCATCTCGCACCGCTAGGGCAAACGATTTGAGTACGCGGAACGCTATTCATGGTCTCCTGAAAGCATGCTCTAAACTACACGTAGGAGCTTTTAACGTCCGAACACTGTGTTAAATAGGATAACAAGCTTCCTTAGCTAGGACTTTAGAATCCCGCGCCATCAACGTGTGCTGCCTCTCCGAAACGCGCATACAGGATCCGAGTAGCGTCATTCATTTGACCTCACCATGCCAAAATAAAGAACCGACTCGATTCACACTTCGTGTATCTAAAAGTCCTGACTCTGCTTCCCGTGGCCTCGCCGGCGTAGGCATAGCATTGAGTCCTAGGGCAGAACAAGCTCTCTTAGAGTGGATCCCAGTAGACAGTCGTTTGTGCGCTTTCTGGCTGAACGGAACAGTAAGGATCCACAAAGATAGGGACACTCGTCATTACCTCTTCGCCGTCTCTGCCTATTCTCCCACTGACTAAAGCGCAAATGATGTAAAAGATGAGTTTTACAGGAAGCTTTCCGACCTACTCCAAAAAGCTAGGCGCTCGGAAGTAGTAATAGTGGCTGGTGGCTTAAATGCTCAAGTAGGTAGACTAAGCGATAGGGAAAGACACCTGGATGGATGCTATAGCATCATGGCTCAAAGAACAGATAACGGCGACCGTCTGTTGCAGCTATGCTCAGATAACCGCCTCTTTCTTGCAAATACTAACTTTAAGCATACGGAAAAATATCTTTTAACATGGCGACCCCCCAATTCGTCCTAACGTTGAAACCAAATAGATCACATCGCTATCAACCACTGATGAAAATGCTGGATAGAAGACTGTCGCTCATTCTGGAGCATATTCTTAGATTCAGATCATGCTCTAGTACGAGCGCGTATCTGTCTGCGTCTTACTGGACGTAGAAAATGCGCTGCAAGGAAACCTCTTAGGGGTTTACTTAATGATAGTCAAGCTAAGAGTATATTTCAGGAACAACTAGGAAAACAGTTAGGCAGCCATGTATGTGATGCCCACCCCGAGGCAGCGTGGAATGATGTCCGAAAAGCAGTGATATCTGTTAGTACGGTAAACCGTAAGGTAAGGGAGAAACACTGGATCTCAGCAGCATCTACCTCACTGATAGATGATCGAAAACTCATTCCATCTGGCTCTGAACATAACGAAGAGCGGAGTCAGCTTAAGCGCAAGCTGACAAGAAGTCTATGCAATGATCGTGAACAGTAGTGGGTAGCGAAAGCAAGAGAGATTGAAAAAACAGCGGCAATTGGTAACAGCAGACAATTGTTGAAGAAACTGGTATTAGGAACCCGACTGTTAGCGATCTCAGAGAAAGATGGACATATTATTTATTTTCAATCCAGGAGATTGGATTAATGGGATCAGTTCAACTGGCCTTCAGCCACACTTCGGTTTCCTACGATCTCCAGCCAACCTGAATGGCAAATTAATTTAGGTCCTCCGACTCTTCACGAAGTTGAAAAAGCTATAGAAAATCTGAAGCAGTGGAGAGCAGAAGGCCCTGACAGGTTTACTCCTGAGATTTTTAAGGGTGTTGGTTCAGTATTAGCAGTGAGATTAACTGAGGTCTTAGGTAAAATTTGGGAACTGAACGTAATCCCATCTGACTGGTCTAAATCACTGAGTGTGACAATCACAGAGGAATCAGTTTGACTAATATAGTGTCTAAAATATTAGCTTCAATAATACTTCGACGCCTAACTAAAGCTCGTGAAGAGCAAACTCGAGAAAATCAGGCTGGTTTTCGACCTGGACGTGGTTGTATAGACCAAATATTCACACTACGTCAGGTTCTAGAACACAGACACACGTTTAGACGCCTCACAATGGTAGTATTTCTCGACCTTAAGGTGGCATTCGACTCTGTTGATCGTAAGGTTCTATGGCAGTGTTTGTCACTGAAAGGAGTACCAAAGAAGTACATTAACCTTATAAAGGCTCTCTACTCGAACACAACTGGTAGAGTGAGAGCTTATGGCGAACTGTCATCAGAATTGGTTACCTCAAGTGATGTTCCTCAGGACTGTCCACCCTCTCCATTCTTGTTTAACTTTGTCATTGACATACTTTTAGATATGACTTGGAATATACCGATGACATAGTTTTATTTGGCGAAGACGCTGACAAAATGTAGAGTCTTCTGACCACTCTAAGAAACAATGCAAGCATGTTCGGGATGCGATTCTCCCCCTCGAAATGTGAAGTGTTGCTTCAGGATTGGGTTGCATCGACACTCGAACTAATGATAGGGAGTGAAGTAATTTAGCGTGTCGACCGCTTAACTTACCTTGGAAGTCTCATCAGCCCTTGTGGTCTGGTGTGTGACGAAATCTTAGCACGGATACAGAAGGGTCGACTAGCTTTTGCCAACTTGCGTCATTTATGGCGTAGGCGAGATATCCGTCTACCAACCAAAGGACGTGTTTACTGCTCAGCAGTTGGTTCCGTCCTACTTTATGGCAGTGAAACGTGGCCAATAAGAGTAGAGGATATTCGCAGATTACTGGTATTCGATCATAGGTGTCTTCGAAACATTGCTCATATATCGTGGGATAAACGGGTAATTAATACAGTTGTAAGGAAAGGGGTACTAGGTAAGGATGGCAAATCAATTGATGCAGTAATGAAACTTCATTAGTTGAGATGGCCGGGACACGTGTTACGTATGCCCAATGACCGACTGGCTTGACGTGCTATGTTCAGTGGTATAGGAGTAGGTTGGAAGAAAGCTAGGGGCGGCCAGACCAAAACATGGCACTAGTGCATGAAGTCACTGGCAAGTGAACTGAGTCATGTTTACTAGGTGTAGACTACCTGGTTGGGGACCACGAGATGATAGCAACCGATGGTTAGAGACCTTTAATGGCATGGCTCAAAATCGTTTGCAATGGCGCAGATGCAAATACTCTTTATGTTCTAAATAAAAATAATATATTTGTAATATCCCAATGAGTAGAAAATCCAATTCGGAATATTCTGCATACTTCAAACCAGTAATCATTGAGTCTTTAACATTATTATACAGTTCAATATTTACATATAAGATTAAATACTTACTTGATTTAGATTTCTGCGAACAAACACCTTGCTTCAAAAGAAAATGCTCATCTTGATTCATTTGATCAACATATTTTACACGATATATATTTTCTTCATTGTTTTGCTGTTCCATACTTGTTCGCTTCATTTCAATTATTCTTTTGAAAATTCTATAACCCAATTCACTATTGAATGGATAAAATGATTTTCTATCATGACCTTGAATAACATTGGATTGGTAACCTCTTGGTGGTAATTTGTTTGGATGCCACCACTTTTTTTCTTCAGACATAATAATTTTCACCTGTGGTAAGAAAGAAACAAAAGAGAAATGAGATAATCTCCCATATGGGTCGGTATGGGCTGTCATGTTAATAATTGTTGGCAATATCTTATGCAGCGATACTAGATTCACACCTCACATGGCGCGCCCGTGTTGCCAAGCTCCTGTTATCTAGAATGAAAAGCTCTTCGTTCTCAAACTATCTAGCTCAGGAAACTCTACCTAAACTCACGAAGCCAAATGAGCTGCATTATACTCTCTACCCTGATCAATTAGTAGTTATTCTAAAGTTACTGTCGATAACATATGTAATTAATTCTTCGTGCTCTGTAGCCGGAGAAAGTCAGCCGGAGTTTCTAGGCTTTAATTTCAAACGGGTCGGCACTCATCAGCAAGCACAATCTTCTGCCTTGATGGAACACTGCGCCAAGTACGATCTTAACCCTCCCAACAAAGGCTTAAGATTGTGTGCACTATATTTAGAGTTCAGGTGTCGACATCAAGTCACTTGAACTGGCCTTCACACTGGAATTTCGTTGAAAGAACTGGTCCAGGCAAACATGATATTGATAACTATTTAGTGATCGTAAATTATGCTACTACTACTAATTAGTATATATTTTCAGGTAAAACAAAAGTGTATCAGTATATTTTTTGTCATAAACTAATGAGTAGAAAACTTCCATTTCTGACGTTTCGTAAATTCATGTAAGCCACTTCTTCAGAACAAACAAATAACCGAATTGGATACATTCACTCTATTCATCAGGATATAACAAACAATATATTTATTATGAACTCTCTACCAAATACTCAATTTATTTGAAACGATCAAGTCTAACTATGGCATTGATACCTATAAAAAGTGAATCAGCTTTGAAACCCCTGGTGTTGGATTCCATGTAAAACTATAAATCACAAGACTTATTCTTCGAAACACACTGTTATGACTTTAAGTTGTGGTTGCTTTTTACCCTGTGCTAATTGTTGTGATTTTAAGTTGTGGTTGATTTTTACACTGTGCTAACTGTTGTGTCCTTGACTGAAAAAACTAGAGAACAGCGTATTTATCGATCGATTCAATGACACGTAAACACGTACGAACGTAATGGACGACCTAGAGTTACGATTGGTCCCGATTCCCTGTCTATCCCAGCCAGTTGAGTCCAGAACACAAATCTCAGCCTCTGAGTTATGAATCATTGTATTTCAGACATACTCTATTTATATACTAACCAAACATACCACATCGTACCATAAAAATAGAAAACAACATTTTGTACAATATTCAACAAGTGGACAGATATCGACCAGTAGGAAATGTCCATTTAAAGTCCAAGGACACCATTGGACTTAACATGATAATTATTGGTCTATCCTTCGCATCCACAACACACACTACCGTCTTTACTTCCAGCCATCATTAAACTTCTATGGTTTATCTAGGAATTTACTTTTGTTGCACGAATAGCCGCATGAATATTGAAGAGTTCAATAGATATCGTTGGTTAAGATCAATTAGGAATTAAAAACGTACCACATAGATAAATCTTAATCGTATACACATGTTGATTGCTCTCATTGGATATGTGTCAATAACCCCATAGTTCAACATTCCTACACCTTGACAATATACATTTTTCATGAGAAATTAATCAATTTTTCATTGCCATTTCAACAGTTATTTAAGTTTATCTTAATGCGTTTGTCTTTGTAATGTCGGTTTTATTAGGATACACATCAAAACCTATCATTGCGTGTAAACGTCCGATGGTAGCTCATTTAAACTTGGTTAGTTTAATTTTACCTAAAATCACTAAATTTACAGCTTGTCGAACCCGACATTTTCACCCATATACAACCGAACGTTAGTACTGCATGTATTTGAAAACAAAGTAATCGAAGTACGATAAATGTATTGGAAATAACGATACAAATGACAGCGATCTATTTTATTAAATCAGGGGAACAAGGCTTTGAAAATAGTGGCTAATTTATAGTTTCCATCATGGAACACTGTACCTTCTTCAACCGAACTGATGGACTTTTCGTCAGCCAGTCAAGAACAGAAGACAACCTGGCACATGTAAACATCAGTTCAAGTTGTCATATCATATTAGCACCAAATGAAAAAGACTGAAAATAAAATAGTAGCAGAGTTGATTAAAGGAATCGCGGTAATAAAGATTAGAGATCGATAATGCAATTTGAGTTAGTGGACTGAAATTTCCTTTAGGTAATCTAGTAACTTAGGATTTCAGAAAGACAAAGAATGAATGTATTCGAAATTGTCAGAGCGAATTACAAGGTAGTGAATACACTGACATCATAAAAGATTAGGTATTGAAGATATGACTCAAGAAAGTATAAGTTAGTAAAATAAAAGGAGGTGGGACCTAGAAACCTGAGGACGTGAATGCACGTGCGCGATTGTAAGGGATTCTGAGATACGTCACCCAACGTCTTTGATAATTGATTACGATAATCACGTGGATCTAACAGGGCCCACCACAGTTGTTGTATTTTCCAACTACATTCAAACATTATTAGGTAGCCAGAGGTAGTTGGTAGGAAATCCTTTACCTACATATCGTGCTAGTTGTCACTTACCAACAATCCTGAAGCAAGTGATATTCTAGCCAGCACAGCTTAATTCCACAGTCTGAGGCGTTAACCGCTTCACTATTCTGGAAAGACTAACCTACCAGGGAACTAGAACATTAGCACTTTTCGATCACTCAGCATTGACCAATGTGTCATAGATTGCCCATCTCTCTAGAGTTTCCCATAAAACGACTTCCAACCATCTAACATGAAAACAACGTGCATATGATCGTAGATCCTCTAGACGAGTGATTATATTGCCCTACGTTCGATCGAATTCGACCACTTGGATTAAATGACTAGACGAACATAACTTTGGTCACTAACCAGTAATTAATCAACTGAAACAACTCTAACTGTAAACAGAACGCGTAAACTCAGAACAAGTACTAAAACAAGTGTAAAACAATCAACATGTTTTATTTACAAGAAAAAATAAACAAACAGATAAAAGTAGACATTTTACAAATTATATTTTATATTTGTCAGAAATGACTATATCATTCGAGCTTCTTCAAGTGCAGAACCATGTGGAACAGATCCAGTTGTTGTTGATGGTGGTGGTGGACCAAGTGGACGTCGTCCAGATGACCAACCACCTAAAGAACCTGGAGTATATTCAACAATTGCACAATCCACATAATCACCAATCTGAAGAAAAAATAAAAACAACTAGAGTATAATTACGTTAATCAAAATATGAACAGTAGTATACTATATCCAATGAATAATTCTGATGAATTGTTAGATTATTGATCTATCACCAAGTAAAGGTTTTTAGATTCAGCATAGAGCGATAATTTAACATGAGTTTAATTACTGGCAACATCGTTCTAGTGGAGCAGGATTCATAAAGATGGCATGAGTAATCCAACTGACAAATCAGCGTTTCTAATTGATCAGGGATTACCCATGAATTAAAAAGGGTTCTAATCTCAAGTCATTGATTTTATCCTTTAGAATAAACTGTAAAACATGATGTTTTAGCTAAAATTGCCAATTAAATCGAACAATCTTCATAATATCCTAAAATAAGAAGTACCATGGTATATACAAATCACTAAATTCAACAGGTAAGTTACAGAAATCTATTGAGAAATCGTAAACAGAAAAGTTATTTCACCACATCAAGTGTGAGGTAAATAACATCAGTGGTAATGAATGAAAGTTATAGAATATTGTGAATTAAATGAAGTTGGCAATGTAAATCACTGAATGTCACCTTAGTCAACTGTAGGTTAAGAAATCACCACAAAGCTTAAATTACCTAGGTTTGTTGATAAGATTGTGAATGTGTACCACTAATGAATGGTATAATGCTCACCAGTGCTTCCTTGTCTTGAATGTTTGTTTAACTGAAGTCATTCCATTATGCAGAACTTAGAAAGATGAGTTACTACATAACTAGAGACGCAACTAGATGAGTCCGATTCAATGGTGTTAATAGTAAATAATCTTTTTCCAGAATAGTAATGTTACCTAGATGAGAATAGCTTGACCTTGTTTTCATATTCTATACATAAGTCAAAGCTAGGAAATTATGTACAAACTTATCAATGTTAAATGCTAAACGAAAATGATATTGTTCAGTACATAGTGACCAATCAATTTGTAAATCCTTTAATTCTACATAAAATAAATTACGGATTAAATAGCTCAATGATAACGTTTAATACGGTGACAGGAGATTTAAATCTTATTAACAGTATTTGTTCTTTCTAAATTGTAAGTACCAAGTAGCACATATCACTTACATTCAGGTATAGAGATTTTATTGAACACAACTAGAATCATTTATTACAATCCTTATTTATTATTGGCTTTGTAAATATGCAAAAGAAGGTCAATGATCTCATTTTATAATTGATTTCATGAACATTTCATATAGTATGTAATTCAGTGTCACCAAAGTTATTTAACAAAACAACTAATCCACACATTCATTCTGCTTTGAATGGATTCTCAAGAAAAAATAATTTGAATCTATATTGAAATATTGATGTGTTGTTAGTAAAAGTAAGATGTGATTGACCACCGTGAGTAAACAGAAAGATGCTCAATGTACTTACTATTATTGATTTCTATTCTGAACACACAGTGTTCAATATTTGTAATTGTGCTAGATAAAGTAATGTCTAGTTTTCACTCTGCTTCTCTATATTTAGTTGTGAATCATGTACGTAGTATAAAATGATCCAGTCTGCATATAGTGTATCGATCGAATACCATATTTAGTGGTAGTATAGTGTTCCAGCCATGTTCAGGATAGTTAAGCCTTATTTGATTTGGACAATCGACTTTTCTGGAAATAGTTTAGGTTTCGCAAGGCTTAAAAACCCACCGCGTGGTTGTTTTTGTGGGGAAATCGTTACTCACAGGTGCTGGGGTGCGGGCATCGCACCAAGGGCAACTATAATCTACTTAGATACAGGAAACACATACCTCTTTTTACTTATGCGTCCTTTAGCATACACATATATATACTTATCATGTGAGCAAATAAACGTTACAAACACATCGGTAACACACAGCAACGAAAGCCTATATTAACTTAAGGAAACATATAGTATAAATAGTCCTTAAATAAGAACTGTAAAGGAATATAGTACAGTATATAAGCCTGATACATGGAAGATTTCACTGTTTTAGAAGCTGATTCATAAATTACAGATAATTTATTACACAACTGTTACTTAGAAATTTAGAGATTGGGGTTTACGATGTATTATGTGCAGTGATCTTGTATTTAATGCACATTACTGTGAGTTTTGAATAATAAAATATCGAGAGTAAATTGACCGGGCGTATTCGTATGCTGACTGAAACAGATAGTTTTGTGATTACCAGTGTCAGTATACTTGGACGAAAAGACAACGGGAGTGACTCAATAAATTAATAATCGTATCAAGTGGCCATATCGAAGGGAAATCATATCACGTTTGAGCCAAAATGTGTGAAGGCAGAGGCGAAATAATTTGCAACCTGAACCAAAGAGATTAAAAGCTGATACCATGGTAGTTGCGAAAATCAAATGACACTTATAACCACCAGGTCATTACGACATAAACTAGCTAATGTAAACCTTTAAAAAAAACAACTGGATAATCTAATTACCTGGAATTTTTTCGACAACAGAGTTACTGATGAGTCGTCAATCAAATTAGAAGGTCTCTGAATATTATTATTGTTACGATTTGTTGTTGTATCAGCAGAATTATTATCAAATTCACAAGAGCTTAATCCATAACCAGTGATAACAACACCTAATTGACGACGTCCATAAGTACCACGACTATCCGGATAGACTATTGCGAAATGCATACGTGTACCACGACGTCTAGCTATGGGCACTACATTACGTACTTCATCAGCTAATTCTGCAAGCGTTGCATCAATCCTAAAAAGCGTAGTAAAAGAAAGGCGTATATATATATATATATATATATTAAAAAAAATAAAAATACTGAGAAGAATTATGAGGTAATCAGAAGCTTAGGATTTTGACGGACCGATGCGCCTGAGATGTCACAAACGAGTTTTAACCACGTCATTCAAAGTCACTTACAAACGGTTATGATGATCACGTGGAATTGAACTGGGCAGTCTACACCTAGGGAAATTGCTCAGTTCAATCGTCCATGACTGACGTCATGTTTTGGTCTGGTCTCCCCTTATTTTCTCGCAACCTACTTTTACACCAGGTAACATCGTTTGTCGAGGTACATGGTGACTAGGCATACGTAATACATGTCCCAACCACCCCAGTTGATAAACATCTATTACCCAAACAATCCTTAACGTCACGAGTGATGCAAGTTGCCAAAAAACAACTAGGCCCACCGATTCCTTGCTGAGAATTCGTCAGACACCAGACCATTAGGACTGATGTGACTCTCAAGATAAATGAAGCGGTCGATATGTCCAACTACTTCATTCTCTATCATTAATTCAAGGGCTGACGCGATCCTGAAGCAACATTTTGCATTTGGAGGGAGAGAATCGCATTGCAAGCACGCTTACATTGTTGCTTAAAATGGTCAGAAAAACGTCCTGACAACACCCAACGAACGATAGTAATGCTGTACAACTTAATTATGATTTTCACAAGTTAACAATTACAGCTAATATAACCAAGTGACAACGTTCCACACGCGAAGTGTCACTTTCCACTAGATTATAGAAACATCTTGTTGACGAAAACTAATTAGCGTGAAGCATAGCTCTAGAGGATCTCAGAGATTTCCTTCAACTGGATAACAACAAGGAGACCTAAAAGTGTTACAAGAGCTATGTGTGACATTATCACTTCACGACTGCTTATATAATGAGGGGTTACTTATTCTATGCGTTCCCCAACTGACCTGATTCGGATAGTAGAACTTGAAGGAAAGAGCATTTTAGTTATTATAGATTGATTGGATCATGAAGATAGGCGAATTCAAACAACATACCAGGATAGCAAATTAACGACCTGACATAACAAATATATTGATTTCAATAAACTAACGAAAATAATGAATCGGTAGAAAGCTCGATAGAGCAATGAGAAGACGGAGTTGATCTGACAAATGTGACTTATTTGCGCCATACATTTTGAACGATTTGGTCACACATATACATGTCAAGGCATTTTACATGACCTCATCAGCGAATTAATTTTGTATAGGAGATACATGGATGATAGATTAGCTATATGTTATATTAGATCAACTAAATGGTGTACAGAATGATATAGTAATGACCTATGAAGCACATAGATATTTATTTATTATTTATTTGAACACATAAATATTGGTACAAGAGAGCGCCAATATATATGCGCCACACAAAACAATGAAAATTCAGAGATAGAAAAAAAAACTAAGGAGCACAAAAGAAAAAGAGAACGATAACGAAGAGATTGGTGTAAGGTAGTGTGGTCGTAACGATGGAACGGAAAGGTACAATCAGAAGAAATCTTTCAAGTAAGGGAGACACAACCACTTTTTATGAAGAAAGTAAAAGAAGGTTACAGCAGGATCGCCACTGGCTTCTATTCTGAGCCATGTCTCTAGCCACTGTGTAGCACCATCTCTCAGACCCCAACCAGGGAGTCGTGAAGGACCGACAGAACCCAGTCCTTTGCAGCTTTCTTTCATACCACGACACCATGTCACGCACTGACCACCTCTCCGCTTCTTCCAACCAGTCCCAGAGTCGGCAAATAATGCACGACGTGGAATTCTCTGGGACGACATTCGTAGAACATGTCCAAGCCAAGTCGGTGTTTCAAGATGGTGACACCAATTGAATTATCATCTCTGTGCCCAAACACATGATGCCGAACCTCTGCATTACTGACATGGTGTTGCCACTGAATATCAGCAATCCTTCGGAGACAGCGATGATCGAACACAGAGAGTCGTCTAACGTCCTCAACTCGGAGAGGCCAGGTTTCACAAGCATAGAGCAAAACTGCTCTCACCGACGCGTTGTAGATCCGACCTTTTACAGCCAGACTAACATCACGAAGGCGCCAAAGATGGCCCAGATTGGCATAAGCCACTCTGGCTTTCACTATACGTGCATTGATCTCATCACTCACACCCCCACCAGCACTTATGCAACTACCCAGATACACGAACTTCTCGACTACGTCTATCTGCTCACCATCCAGGGTGAGTACAGGATTGGAATCCTGCCAGTCTTGTAAAAGTACTATGCACTTCGAAGGTGCAAAGCATATACCATACCTACGGACACTGATTGCCAACTGATTAAGTGCAGATTGCATGCCTTGGGCATTATCGCACAGTAAGACAATATCGTCCGCATAATCAAGGTCGAGAAGTCTTTCTCCAGGCAACAGATCCACACCACCATTACTTACATTCATCAGAGCTGTTTCCAGAATGTCATCGATGGCAAAGTTGAAGAGGAATGGTGAGACTGGGCGACCCTGTCTAACCCCACTACTCGAATGGAACAAAGGAGAGAGGTGGTTGTATGCCCTCACTCTGCCTGAGGTGTTTTTATATAGGGCTTTTAGGATGTTAATAAACTTCTCAGGCACACCCTTCTTCAATAGACAATCCCAGAGAACAGTCCTGTCCAACGAATCGAAGGCAGCCCTGATGTCAAGAAACACTACGATTGTTGGCCTTTGATAAGTATGGCGATGTTCTAACATTTGGCGGAGGGTGAAGATATGATCAATACAACCTCGACCAGAACGAAACCCAGCCTGCTCCTCGCGAGTCAATCTTTCTCGGGTTTTGAACAACCTACGAAGTATGACGGAAGCCAATAGCTTGGACGCAATCGAGAGTAGACTTATCCCCCGATAGTTGTTGCAGGAACGACGTGAACCCTTTTTAAAGATAGGGACAACTATCGACTCATTCCATGACGTTGGTACACTCTCTAGCTCCCATACCTTTGTAAACAACGTCGTCAGTTCCTTAGTCAAAAAGTCACCACCATCTTTAAAAAGAGCCGGAGGTAAGTCATCTGGGCCAGGTGATTTGTAACGCTTCAAGAGTTGGAGTTCCATGCGGACTTCCTCCTCGTTTGGTGGATCAGTCGTCACCGGCCATGGAGGGCAGGACAGTCTGACCGATGTTGCCGGAGCAGCAGGGCAGTTCAACTGCCCTTCGAAAAATTCTGCCCATCGTCCAAGACGTCGATGGATGTTAGTGATTGGCATCCCATCATCCTCGCAGATTGTTTCTCTCACACCAGACTTCTTGCTGCCAGTGGCTCGGATGAGCTGGAAGAGCTTCCGGTAGTTACCAGATGCAGCTGCTGCTTCCAGCTCATTAACACGCTCCGACCACCAGGCTTCTCGGTTTTTACGCAAGCTTTGCCCAATTTCCTTACGTAACATCCTTCGTTTATGGTCAAACTCACGGTTACCCGGAGTAGACCGACGGGCTTCAATGAGTTGTAAGGAACCAGAAGAAACCCAGTGATTAAAAGCGGGACGTTTCGCAAACCCACAACTGACTGTTCCCGCCATTTTCATGGCGTCATGCAATTGCAACCAATGCTCATCTATACTTTTCGGTGGAGTGGTAGCTAGCCTAGAGGCTAGCTCGGTTCGATACTTATTTGCAACAGAAGTTGCAACCAGCTTGCTAATATCAATCCTTTGATGGCGGTCACTTCGTTGTCCACTGAAAAGTAAGGCAAGATTGGCACAGACCAAGGCATGGTCAGAGCCCAGATAGGTACTCCAAAAGGAGCGGCAGTCTTTTACACAACCACGCCAGCGGTAGCTGATCGCGATGTGATCAATCTGAGTCCAGGCTTGGGATGACGCCAGGTGGCACATCGGCGATGACTGTGCCGAAAGTTAGTGCTAGCCAGAAACAGGTTGTGGTCTGTGCAAAGTTGCAGTAGACGGTCCCCGTTATCTGACCTGCGACCAACGAGTCCCCATCGGCCACCTAAACGACTCTCTTCTGTGCCTAGACGCCCGACCTGAGCATTCAAGTCTCCGGCTAGTACTACAATATCTGTCGAGCGCACTTTCTGGAGAAGAACAGTTAACTGGTGGTAGAATACATCCTATATTGCATCTGGGCTACAATCTGTCGGGGCATGGGCAGAGATGACGAAAAGACATCGTTTCTCACGCCGATTTCTTCTCACTTTGATGAAACTTTCTAATCTAACAGCACATAACCGACTGTTAATGGGGATCTAATCGACTAGTGCTGCCTCAGCTCTAGCGCTTAGTGCGACACCAACGCCAGCAAGACCAGACGAAGATGCCACAGGGTCCCCGGATAAGCGCACGTAAAACAAGCTTTTCGAAGCCACAGATGGAGATCGAATTTGTAGTACTTCGCCAGAGTCTTGAATACGGGTCTCGGATAGACAACAAACATCAATATTAAGACTTTCCAAAGACATAGCCAGCCCTATCTGTTGTCCGACCTGCACTAGTGTGCGAACGTTGAAGGCAGCCAGTTTGAATGGTGCACGTGGTTTCAGAAAAACTGCTTCAGTTCTCGTATTCGGTGGTAACATACAATTTTCAACCGGACAGTGACTCGAGAACGTTTAGATACAGTCGAATTTCCACCAAAGACGAGCCGCTGTATAAGTATAAAAGAGGGTTAATAATGTGGAAAATAATAATAATAATAATAATAATAATAATAATAATAATAATAATAATAATAATAATAATAATAATAATAATAATAATAATAATAATAATGACAATAATCCTAATAATAATAATAGTATTATTAATGACAATAATAGTAATGATAATTATTTGAATCGATTGATTGTTTATCGGAACGAGAAAAGTAGTTGCCATAGACATAGAGTTCATCGTTTGTGTGTGGGCTGTGATACTGCCCGGGGTGCTCAAACCGAAGCACGTGGTTTTCTTAGGGATCACACCCGGAGCCTTCAACCTGAAGGTCTGATCCACAAGGCAGTCGAGCAACGTCAGGAGATGCAATCCCATGTTAGCCGGTGACCAACCGTTGGTTCGTACGCCATTTTTTCCATCAGGATACTGAAGAGCATTTGCCCTATTGGATTGGAACCAGGGTTTTCCAACTCCCCTAGGTGGACTCTCTATGTCCATCAACCCGGTTAAAACGCCGGACATTCGCTCTTTGTCCTTTCACATGTTACACGCCAAAGGTGAATTGGGACTTCAAACAAAACGAATTTACGAAATCACTGACCGCTGGTCTCAATTATCCACAGCAGCGCAGAGTTGAAACAACATGGTTCACAATGGGAAATTCCTGTATTATAACTGTACTACTCACAAGTAGATAGCTTTTATCGCAGTATTTCCGAGTGGTCCTTGCATTTAATTGGATCGTAAATTAACAGTTCGCTAATAGCCTAGATGGAATGTGATTAACAATGAAATTCAGGATCTGTTTTGTCCTATTTTGGAATTTTCAGCTGCATGCATATCCATTTCAGTGTTGATGGTGTTCATACGAGGACTCAAAGGTAGTACTTTGAGCTCAAAACACCAAACGTGTCCCTCGCTGATCTTTTGAGTTCAGATAGCCAGCATCTTATACAACGGCTATGATATTTATTTCATTACAAGTAAGGTTTGAATTACCCCGTCTATGGTAGTGAGACTTGAGTTTCAACCAGTCTTTTTTAGTAAATCTGAATTCTGTGAGGATTGTGTCAATATAACCACTGCTAGCGACAACCGATATATTCACCATAAGTTATTTATTTATTTAAACATAAACATTGGTACACGAAGGCACCAAATATATGTGCCACACTTCGCCATGCGATTTGTGAGGGCTGGATTACTGTTCAGGTGCCCAAACGAAATGAATGGTTTTCTTAGAGGGGATACACCCCGAGCCTTTGACCTGAAGGTCTAGTCCACAAGGCAGTACAACAACGTAAAGAGATGAAGTCCCATAGTGGCCGGTGATCAACAATTGCTTTATATGCCATTTTTTCCCTCAGGATCCCATATGCACCGTTGGTTTCAAATTACAGTATTCCAATTCCCCTAGGTGAATCCTCCACATCCATCGACCAGGTTAAGGCAATGGATATTCGCTTTTTTCCTGTCAATTTTGTAAACAACATTCCTGCCGCGAGAAGGCATTGAGTAGGACTTCTCTGACAGTGGCTATATACGCGTGGCGATATGAGAGCATTTCGAGGATGAGTGCACTCTCCCCACCATTAGCAGTGTCAAAGCACTCGGGGGCAATAATAGTGTTATTCAGGCAATCTGTCTAGGATATCAGCATGTCAACAAAGGCTAATCAAAATTTTGTCCTTCATATTGACGGGATAACTTAGACATTGGTAATAATAGAAATTAAGAAACCAGGGTAATATTTGGAACTTATTCGATCGCGTGTGTGTCATACTAACGAATCTAATGCACAATCTAGCACAACAGAGAGTATTGTATTCATGATATATCTGTGACTACTGTGAGTACAGTGAAAGCTTTTACATGCCTAAGTAAAAATATAAGCTAGCTCATTAAGGGTGTTGCTTACGGAAACAAATAATCAAAAGACCGATTCCATTTGAACGGACATGAGTCAGTTTAACCTTGGTGCACTATACATTATTTAACTACTGTTGCGATGTGTGCTACTTATACGGACAGATAGAAGTAGTATGTATCGGGAATTGGAAATAAGATTCTTACGGAAGGAAGAGGAAAATGAGAAGAGAATATAAAACAGAAAGCAATCGAAATAACAACAGGAAAGGAACGGTGGAATTTGGAGGTACGACTCAAAGATGTGCAAATAATGCATTTAATGCTTTACTTTTGTATCTTACAAATACAGTGAGTTTGCATGATAAAATTATTTGGTTCACCTTAACCAAGGCTTTGTTTATTAAACTATCCTTTGATGAAAATTGCAATTTTTTGATCTGTAAAATAAACGACCGAAATTACGTCACACAAACTTTGATTCTAAAGAAATCAAAGGTGATTCGGTCACCGAACCTGATCACCAACCCTCTCAACCTATGAAACGTGGTGTACCCCACCTTCTGGGATCACCTACTGTCTCCAAAATGGGAAGTGGTGATGCTGATAGCAACACTGAGGCGATGAAGCGTGAAACGATGGCGATGCTTGACTTACGAGAACTTTTATGGATGCTGTTCTAAACAATAAAAATGGACACAGGAGGAAGGCTAGTGAACTGCTAGATATAGAAAATTTAGTTTAGAGGAGGAAGATAATTGTTGCATCCTAGATTTAACAAAGAAAACGTTTCCACGACTTTAGTTTGTGTACTATTATTAAACAAGCTGAACATACACACTGAGCATAAAATTGAATTAATTTAAATCAAACAACTTACCATGTATTGAACTGTATCTCATTTTCCGGTGTACGACGTTTATTATAATCCGACAATGAATAATGACGTGCATTTGTGGAATAAAATAAACGAAGCAGCATAGGACAAGTATTCTCCCGGTCAATCCCACTTGGAGCAGTGATTGGTACAGGACGATTTTTGAATAGAATAGGTCGTGGCATCAGTTTCCTTGATCTTTCATCTCTTAAACGTCGTTTATTATCATCGTTATTTGGTCGTGAGTAATCATTAGGTTTTGATTTTGACTGTTTTTCTGTATAATCTTCTACTTCCTCTTTTGTATCTTGTAAAGGACGACGTACAATAATACGTCTAGTTTCTTCACTTGGCTGTATCTCTACACCACTAGTAGGTCCACTTGAAGCAAGTTGTACAGAAGAAAACAACGCTGGGGAACGACTTCTACTTCGACGATCTAAACGTTTACGATCAACACCACCTCTTCTTATTTCATCATCATCGTCATCAACAGTATCAATTGGAAGTGGTGGTTTTTGCCATCTGGATAATGGTGAAACGGGTCGAACAAGACTTCGAAGATTGGTATTTCTTCCGTTTTCCATTGAGAAAATATAGATGTTTTCTATTTTGAAATAATAATTCAATCAGAAATAAACTTCGAGAATGTAAACTGAATAAAGTAGGAACGAATAGTTTCACAGCATTTGGGCGCCGAGTTAATGTGAGACATTAAAGAGAAAAAATGTATTTGTTAAATCTCAGTGAAAGAATTTGAAGTAAATCCAACGTTTCGCCTGGCTATCTGCTCCAAGCTTTATATTATATTATATTTTCTTAGCAAACGCTTGGACTAGATTGCCAGGCGAAACATTGGATTTACTTCGAATTCTTTCGCTGAGATTTTACAAATACATTCTTCCTCGTTAATGAATAAAGTCGGCTTTATTATATTTATAAAACAACAAAATATAGAATTATGATTTAATCAGAGGTTGTAGGCTCGAATCCTGTGCTTCACTTACTTCACTCTGCGTAAATTGAACGAAAACTCACTAAAGCTTTAATACAAATAACATAATCACAAGCCAATTACATAAACTTGTAATTTGTTAAAATAGGTTTAATCTACTAGTGCAGTAACTGTTGTTGACATATACATTTGTTTAATGTTATAATTCAGTTTGACTAACTGACTGATTGACATAATGATACAATCACATTTATTGAATATTATAAATTGTGGTACAGTAAGAAAGTCTCAGAACCAATTGTGGAATGTTACAGTAAATAACTCATTGGCGTAATTTTAAATTGTAATTAGTCAGAACATATTTTGTGTTCATAACAGTCTGTCTATCACTTGTAGTCAATTATCAAACTCCCATCCATCGTATATAGAGTGCTTGGACACCAAAATATTTGTACAGTTGAAACATTAACGGTTCAAACATTTGAGTAGGCCACCACGAAACTATGATCACTCTTATTCCAGATCAGCGGTCAAATATTCAAAAATCTATGAATTTCTTTTAATGCAGTTATAAAAAACAACATACAAAGACAAACACACCATTGACCACTCAAAGTAATCCACAGTGCTATCAGAAGTATGACAGAAGTCGTCACTTCCCGAATACCCACACCATCGAAGGATACTTTCTCCTTAGACAGCTTGAAAAGAAACTGGGCTGGTAGTAATCTCGCCGACATGCGAGTACGATCACAAAGACCAAGAGACAACTGCTTCAGGTCGGTGGTCACATGTCCTTTTTGTGAATACTATTCTCTGTTAGCCCTGTACTTACCACGGACGATGGAAATTCGCGGAGCAACGTGGTGTGTTACTTTGAGGACTGATCTTTTTTAACCTTTTCCTGCCATCTTTATAAGGCAATGTCGATTCAGATACTGGTCATCTGAGGCAAAGATTTTACCGTCATCACACTCCAGTACAATTCGTAATGTATATCCACTCCCCTCAGAATTTATGTTGTTGCTTTTAACCTTACCGCTCCTAAACAAATCATTCGAAACATAAATACTTGAAACAGTAATGATTGCCACGAGAACTTATCTCAATAAACTGAAAAAAGGAACTAGATATTTTTCTGCAATCTCACTGAATTAACTCTTGAAAAAAAATTCGTTTGACGATTACGAATGGAAACTGATAAGACTTGATTGGTTTCTGCTAAAGGACTAGATTGCTTATGTTAGGATTTTTAATTTCGTTTCAATTTGATTGTAAAGAAAAGTACGTTATGAAGTAAAGGTATACAGTTGAAAAATTCAACCTAGATCATACTTAATAGTATTAAAAAGCTCTTAGACTTGATTTGATATCTTGTGGATAGGAATCACTTCCAGATCTATTTTTGTCGAATGAATTCATATATCTGGAATGAACATCAGGATAACTAAAAAAATCCTATAAACATGGAGTCTTTGTAAAAACCTGGACAATTTGAAGATAACATGGATTATAAACAGATTTAGGTTGATCAGTTAGTTGTGGTTAAAGTAAATCATGGTACGTGTGTTAGCCTAACTTATTACACCAGATTAACACGAGATGAATTTTAAAAAATGAATGTCAAGCGAATCGGAATAATGTAGCATCAATGGTAATCGCAAGGACTAAACTTTGGAGATATGATTCAAAAAGACATACATTAAAGAAATATTGGGACTGAAGATCTAGGAAAGGAGTAACTTGTGAATGCATCTGCCCCTTTGTGACTGATCTCGAGTCATGTTACTGAATGTTTTTCAAGTGCCAAGCGTGATTATCACGCGGATCCAAACCAAGTAGTCTGGGTATCCCGAATGCTCGGGAACGAAAATCAATGACTTCATGAACTGATAACACAACCGTCAAAAATTACGAAATAATCCAGTTGCTTTATCCTAATAAACAACTAACTAGCAATGTGGACCAACATGACCCCACCAGTGGTCAAATTCAAAATTGATGCACCTTGCTACAAACATACAGCTAACCATTAGACAACAGTCACACAATTTAACGAGAAGTGACTGATGTTGAGATTGTAAATTATTCAATGCTAACCAAATGCAACATATTCGCTGAACGTTCTAAAAGTTCTGAATTCTACTCTCTTTTAGAGGGTTGTGGATGCATATCGCTGAGTTCCATATATTCAAACCAAATACTCGTTTATTAGGCACTACCGGTGGTTTTATATAGCTATCTGTCATTCCGTGGTATGAATTGCCTTCAAATACTTTCTAGAAAAAATCTGCTATAACACAATTTTCAAATACAAGAGACAAAAATTCAAACACAAAATCCACTAACTAAAAGCAAAATATATAATGAGTAAGAATAATTATATTGTTTAAAATAACAATTACAGTACAATTAAGTACATATGTACGTGCATATATACAGTTAACTTTAACGGCATAAAATTAAGTATTTACATCATTCGACGATGTTTCAACATTATTATAATAAGGAATAAGATTACAGATTGGATGTGTACGACAAATAACCGAAACACGTCGTCCACGGTGTAAATTATATAAATCAATCGACTGTTCATTTCGTATTTTATCGACTTGTTCATTAGACAAAATAGCATGTGTTAATAAGTAGCGTAGTGCACCACGCATAATATACACGGATCGTCTAGGTATAAATATATCTATCCATGAACCGATCAGTGGTAAGTTTAGTGATTTTAAATAATCATACTGATCTTGCGGAACACCCACTACTTCTTTTTGTGGAGCGACAGCTAAACGTAAAATCGAATCAGATAATAAACTTAGCACAGCGATTGATTCCCCACAGAACTGGAAATAAACAACATGAAAATTTTGAGTTCTACCGAGTTGAGTTATTACAAGGAAAAAACAACCAACTTAACATGCATGAGACAGTCAGCATAATGACTTTGAGTGCCTTTACAGGAATGATGACGTTTGCCGCTTACTGGTTGGCCATATGGTGCAAGGCTTCTTCTTTAGACAACTCAAAAAGAAACCGAATAAGTTGCGGTCTTGACGATATAAAAGCGTGACCACAGGGACCAAAGGACAACTGTCTCATGATGATCACATGGGGTTTTGCGACTACTTTTCTGTTAGCCTCGTACTTTTGAGGCCTTATCACCAATAGTGGAAGTCCGTGAGGCAACGTGATATTTGGTCCCTTGAAGATCGATCTTTTCCAACTCCTTCCGATTTCATGAAGTAACAAAAATCCATATACTGGTTTTCTTACGGAAGCATTCTACCGATGTCACACTCCAGTACAGTCATCAGTATAACTTCGTTATCGGACCTCAAGTTGCTACTTTTGTTCTTACACCTCTCAAACTAGCATGTCTGGGATCACACGAAAGAACAAGTACTTCGGCTAATTAAGCTCAACAAGGTCATCATGAAATGTAACTCAACCCACCATATTGAAGTGGCAGATACGACTTAAATTTCTAAGACAATCTAATGAGATGGAGTTTATCAGAAACCTATGTGATACATTAATGCAATACAATTTGAAAAACAATCTGACCGAACAATAATTTAAAATACTGAAGGAGAAAGAAAGCTAAAGCCAAACATATAGAAATATATGGGGTAAAAATGGCAACACAATATACTTTAACGCTATCCACGTGTGCCATTATCTCCCCATTTTCAGCTAAATCCAAAACGTGAATTAATGGAAGTACTAGTTGGTCAATATTTGCAACATCTGCTTCCATAGCCATTGTTGATGCTGTTAAACCATTGCTTACAGTAGTTGATGCTTTCAACCGATTTATAACAAGCTGATTGGTCGTTGAATGCCAACTTTTGCGTTCCAACTCACGAAAATTCTTAATAGCCTGGAAGAAATATAAAGAAAAAATACCATTGCGGAGAATATACAAAACTTGTGCAGGAATTCATAGAAAAATTATATAAATCCCAAGTTAAAATAGACTGACAGTTCAATAGGGTTTTCAATGATAACGATATCCTAGGACAAAACAAGTAATAGATAGTGTATATATGTAATGCCTCTAAATGCCCTGGTACAACCGGGAGTGGGGAAAGTCAACTCTCATCCTCAATATGCTCCCACATGGCTACGCATACATAGCCACTATCAGCAATTCCTACTTAATACCTTCTTGTGGCAGCAGTGTTGTTTACGTAAATGACAGGACAATAAGCGAATATCCAGTGCTTTAACCTGGTTAGTGGATCGACCTAGGGGAGTTGGAAAACCCTGATTCCAAACCGATGGTGCACACCGACTCCAGGATCCTAAGGAAACAAATGACGTATGAACCAATTACTGGTCACCGGCTACCTAATATTACCATACAGCAATCACAATCGACCGGTTGAACGTAAAGTAAACCAGATCGGCTTTTCACTATTGCCACATTAAACCTGTAGGAAGGTATTAAGCTTAAAATGAACTCTCAATGCAAATTTTGCAGCTAGGACTAGCTGTTTGGCTATCGTATTCCCTCATAACTTTTATGTAAGAGAGGGAGGGTGAATTATCACATAATGTACAAAATGACGAGTAGCATGGATTCATAAATCAAGCAGCGACGTAGGGATTTTGAAATACTGTACATCGATACGGGTTGTCTCAGATCAGGAAAAAAACCACATGTAAGATGGGAAATAGAACCGACAGGAATGAAAGCCTAAATACGAGAAACATTTGAGAAAGTAATAAACTACAATAAACTTTTCTCTTTTCCAAGCTCTAAGGATTGAAGACATGCTCGATTTACGTGGAAAAACTCAGCCTCAGATGTAAACAACCTACAGCCCAGTAAAGGTGTCCACATCTAGAAGCTGAAAGGGAAAACAGTGGATTGAATATGGTTATACCAAGAGGAAGATGGCAAACCAAATGGATAAAAAGAGCGCTGAATCAAGAGAAACTACGATTAGGAATAAGCAAAGAAAAACAAACACCCATTACACAAAAAGCCTTCTGAAAGCTTTAATTATTTCAAGAATGATTAAGACTTTATAACTAAAAACAAAAGTGCAGATCAACAGAGCGATTATTACATTACTTTGGCTGTTTATTCACAATAGCCCAAATTACAGGGAGCGGTGTAAGTAAAGTCGAACGAGTTCATTTCCTCCTTACTCCTTAGATAAAGTAGCGTATATTTATTTTTTAGAGCTTATGAAACGCCCCAGATGGCAATTGCAATCTAGTTTCAAAACTTTTTTTTCATTTTTTGAAGGATAGAAGCCATTCCGAACAGTGAAACGGCAAATATTTGAATAACTTACATAATCCCAGTGCTTTGTTTGGTACTTTCGTTTGCAAAGTACAGAATCAAGTTCGCTTATCAAACTTGACTCTTCCTTCTCTGTAACAAAATCCTGTTTGAGTATTAATTCATTAGACACAATTTTGACGAGACTAGGGTATTCTGAGTTTAATTCTGTCAAACATGTCTTTTGAGAAGTTGAGAGTGTAGTAGAACAGAAACCAGGACTAGAACAACGCGTTGACAAGAAGGTAAGCCGCCGCGCCGCCAAACTCATAACCCCGCCACCCAATCCCAAAAGACAATGAATTGTGACTTTGTGACGAACCTGACGGCCATTCAGTTTCTTTACACTTTGATTTTGATTTTAAAAATCCACTGCTTAGAAATATTTGAGAGCGAGAAATGTTTTACACATAGCCTCTTTCATAAACCTGGTAGATTTCACATATGGATCATAGTTGATAAACTGTGAGGATGAATGAGTTTGAATCTAAGTATATATTTGAAATTTAGATATTCTAAGTCACATTTCTACAATTTGAACCAAACTGCCTCTCTCATGTTTTCCGTCTTAAGTGACATTCACTTTCGACATGAATACTTACGTACTTAATAAACAATGCCTGTACAAGCTCCCTACAAATCGAAAGGCTATTGCGGCCGTGAAGCACAGTTATGAGAATCAGCTTGATCAAATGCAGAACCCAGAAGCATACGAAATAATTCTAGGAATCTATGGTATATTGCAATATGTCAAATAGGTTGAATTCTTCCTAAGTATTTAAAGGTTAGTTAATGTGTGAAGTTGGGGTAGAAGTAAATTCGGGTGGATTTATACGCAACGCAACCATGTAAACTAAATGTATCGCCCAGGGTCATCTGTTAGTTCAAGTAACCACAGATTTTGTCATTTCATAATGTATTTTTAATTGAATAACTAAAGTATGTTGTCAATTTTGCTCTATTTTTAATTTTTATTCGCCACGTCCGACTGAGTAACACTGTACATTCATTGCACGCTGGGTTGATATCCCAAATCATAATGAGTTTAATCTTATAATTGATTGTTTCCAGATAAACCGTCAGTGCATACTGTTACTGAAAGAAGTTTTGTTGTACTGTAAACTATGTTTATATGAACAACTGACTGTTGTCTTCAGTCTGAAAGCAATATATGTATATCCTTTGTCTTATGTTAGGTAAGTTCGACTGTCCCATATTTCGTGTTTTGGTTTTTCGGCTGAATTATGTCCATTTAACTGCTTTGAGCAATATTTCTGTGCGAATGAAACTGTAATTATGACACTTGCTTAGTTTAGTATTCGTGATTGTCGTATAATTCAGTTTAATCGAAAGAATTATGGTATACTTAAAAATATTGCTGGAAGCCTGTAACGAAACAAATCAGTTTAGTAAGTACAGCTGCCTCTTTCTATTGAGTGTACTGATTCAAATCAGGCTGATTAAAAATAGGAAAAAAGTGCCTTTGGTACTGTTGCTGTGATACATTATTTGATAGCTTTAAGCATGTTTGGTGTTTATTTCTAGACTGTACATCTATCACTGACCACATTTCATGATCATTGTCATTAAACAATTTCCGCAGCAATAATATCGTTAGCAGGACAGATAAGGGTCTGAGCTTTTAGTCGCTCGCAAAACAGTATTATACATTCTTAGAAGATGAATGTTCTGTGTCTCAATTAAATGCAGCTGGCTGTGGATAAATGTTAAGAATCTTTTTGACAACCGGGAATTTTAGTTTATCAGACACTAACTCTGCTTGTATGTCTTCCTGTTAAACTAGATGCAGATGCATGGGAATACCTGAATGGGAGCAAAATAATAAAAGCATTGCTATACGGTACTAAGCCCATGTTGTGCTATCACAAGTAGTAGTAGCTGACCTGATCCAATATTCATGAACCCAAGGTAAATCACAACTGCATAAATTCTTTGCTAAAAAGCATGTTATTTGGTTATTTATCTATTCCACATTCCTGACTAAATTGATTACTATTTTTTCATTTAGGATGCAACAGGAGTGGGCCTTCACAGATCCTAAAGATTGTTTACGGGAGACCCAACTAACAGCAGATTGTAAAAGGGATGCTGGACATCCATTCTAGTCTCACACCCACTTCCAGTATTTTTTGAGTTACTTCTTTCACCCTTTCGTCTGGAAAAGAACAACAAAGACTGCAGTTTATTATTACCAAAGCAACTTTTAAACGGGAACTTGGTTTAAACCTTTGTCTGATATTCGATTGTCAACGAAAGTTCCTGGATAAATTTTTAAATGTAATGCAACTTTGTTTTATCTACTTAATCGTTGCAAGAAACTTGTGTAGCGGTAAATAAATCCCCAAAATAAGTTTTCGACATTGGATGCCGACCAGATTAGTTTTAATGGATTCACCCAGCTGAAGGCGCTCAGTCAGGCATCCGCACCAGATCACGTGTGGTAACAATGTGCTCAACATCTACTGCAATCGCTAGCCAGATTAGATTAGACAAATTTGATATACTGACAATCCTCACAGATTGAAATCATGAGTCAGTTGAAGCTAGACCACCATTGAAAACCTGGATATTTTTTCCCCGTATCTCAGGATATCTATATATTTTCCCCTCATGTTCTCGTAATTAATATTCCCTTATGACCAAACAGACTCCTAAGGTATTTAAGATTAGGACAATGTCCCAACCCTCGTTTCAACTCATGCCATTCTGACCCGACAATATCGAAACTTGGTTCTGTTACGCAGAAGCCGACTTCCACGAGCACGGTGTGAACGACACACGTGCACAATTCCTCACAGTAGTCAGGGCACTACCGCGGGAATTCAACAGGTACGTAACACTTAGTATGTTTACAAGTTATGTTTCTTAACCGTACGAAAACTTAAAAGGTTCGATTCTCAAATGAGGAGACCTAACCAATCGACAAAGGTTAGAACAACTCTTTAATAATATAGACCTGCAGCACGCTTCTGAGACGGACATGTTGCAAAGGATGAGAGAGGTTATAGGTCTAAGAACTTTCGACGAAGGCCTATTCAAACAACTTTGCTTGTCCAAACTTCCCCAACAGGTGCAAGCGGCCCTGGTCTCGTTTCAGAGTAACGCCTTGGACAAACTGGCTGCATCTGCCGATCGTATCTTAGAAGTTACTACCGAGGTTTTTTCATTTAAAGAAAAGCCTCAAACGACTCAGGATGATATAACCGAGTTATGTCATACACTTACGCGTTATCTTAATTTTCGTAACGACCGTAAGCGACCACACACACCACGTAGAAGCACTTCACGTAAGCGATCTATCTCTAGACTACGAGAGACGGATAATCCCGACTAGTGCTGGTATCATAGCTAGTATGGAAAGTCTTCCAGAAATTGCAGAAAACTCACGCAATTTTCTCAACTCAAAACTGACTGACCAAGAAAACAGTTCGGGAAACTTTCAAGCTGGCCCGCGTTAACGACAACCGTAGCCTGCGAACATAGCCGTCTGTTATACGTCATAGATGTGACAACGTTAGTTCGCTACCTCGTAGACGCTGGCGCAGAAGTTAGCGTTCTCCCAGCGAATCCCAGCGACCGGCTTCACAAATCGGCTTTAAACTTACGGGCGGCAAACGGAAAACCTATCACCACGTATGGCAAAAGGTACGTTTACCTTAACGTGGGTCTACGCAAACCCATTCACTGGATATTCGTTGTTGCAGATGTTACTATGCCAATCATTGGTATGAACCTCCTACAACACCATAATCAAATCATCGATACGCGCAAAGAGAGGCTAGTAAACGGAAACACGACGACTAGCTCGCCTAAAACTAAGGTTGGCGAAAAACGAGTTCGATCACATGATAGACTTAAGAATCATACGACAATCAGATAGCCCATATGCATCTCCGTTGCACATGGTCCATAAAAAGGACAGAAACGATTAGCGTCCAACTGGTGACTATCGGTGATTGAATGCGAAAACCATTCCCGATCGTTACCCGTTGCCCCACATTCACGATTTGGCAGCTATCCTGAAGGGAAAACTGTCTTTTCGAAAATCAACTTGTTTAAAGCGCATAACCAAAACTTTATGACCACAGACGACATTCCGAAAATCGCCATCATTAATCCCTTCGGACTCTCTGAATTTTCGCAAATGCCTTTCGGTCTAAGAAACGCTGCGCAAACATTCCAAAGATTCATAGACGACGTTTTTCGAGGTCTCAACTTCGTATATGCGTATGTTGATGACTGCCTAATCGCAAGTCCGGACAGAGAATCACATCTCAAGCATCTGGATCTTGTTTTCGACCGACTACATAAACATGGCATTACTGTAAACGTTCAGAAATGCCAATTCAAAACAAACTCATTAGACTTCGTAGGACACACTGTAGATGCTCAATGAATTCGACCATTTGGACAAAGTGGCGGCAATTTTGGATTACCCAGAACCGACCACGATCAAGCAACTACGAACGTTTAACGGCCTTGTAAGTTTCTATAGACGGTTCATACCGAAATACGTATTACTCATGAAACCTCTAACAGACCAACTTCGTGGAAATGCGAAATCCATTAATTTGGAAGACAACGCACGAAAAGCATTCTCCATCGCTAAAGCAATAATGCTTGCACATCAGGACACCCGAGCACCCATTAGTATCGCAGTAGACGCATCCGACTCAGTAATCGGAGTAGTCTTACAACAATAGGTCCACAACTCCTGGCAACCTTTGGCATTTTTCTCTACACGGTTGCTAGACACCGAATCGTGTTACAGCACATTCAGTAGGGAACTCCTAGCTATGCATTGTGCTGTACGTCATTTTCAAAACTACATCGAAGGTCGTGAATTCACTCTTTTCACTGACCATAAACCGCTCACCTATTCTCTAAGCTCTTCTTCAGACAAGTACTCTCCCCGTGAGTATCGACAACTGGACTACATTTCGCAGTTTACTTCAGACATTCAACACATCTCTGGAGCAAACAATGTAGTCGCAGACGCCTTGTCTCGAATAACTTCCTTGAACAGTTTCCAAGGCATTGGCTTTCTGAAACTCGACCAGTTTAAAAAAGAAGACACTAATCTTCAGCACGAGTTATCGTCTACAACCCTTAAACTACGCATCAAACAGATGGGAACAGGTAAGGAAACATCACTTTGTGACACATCTACAGGTAGGGATCGTCCAATCGTGCCGAAACACGAACGACGCAACGTCTTTAATACATTACACAAACTTTCTCATCCATGTGTTCGTGCAA